CTCTCTCTCTCTCTCTCTCTCTCTCTCTCTCTCTCTCTCTCTCTCTCCTTCCTTTCTCTCCATCCCTTCCTTCCTCCCCCACTTTCTGTCAATAATGGTATTAGTAGCTCCAGTCCACTGTGTCCTCCCTGTAATGATGAACCAAAACCATTAGCAAAATATATGTTGTTCTGTCAAGTAGTGTGTGTGTATGTGTGTGTGTGTGTGTGTGCACACGCGCGTGCACATATGTGGCCTGCTATTCGTAGAAGGGGGAGTAGTAGGGCTAGTCAGCAAGCCCCAGGGACTCACCTGTTTCCACTTCCTCAGTACTGGGGTTACAAGAGGGCATTGCCGCGCCCAGCTATTTACAGGGGTTCTGGGACTCCTATGCTGGTTTTCGCACTACTTGCTGAGCCATCTCCCAGGCCCCTGCCAGGCCTTTTGCAGGAGGGAGAAAAGCAACTAACACTGGAATTCAGATCCAAAAGCAGGCTTGTTTATCTTCTTACTGTGGCTTGCCTGCCTGGGATGCCCCCCACTCCAGTGCACCCTTGCTGTTCAGAGCCTCCTAGAACGAGAGCCCCTGCCCAAGCCTGCAGCCTGGTCTCCTAGGACTCCTACCACAAACAACGACCAGCATTTCGGGAGCATCATGTTGTCCCAAGTCTTGGAAATGCTCAGGACCATTCTTCCCTCTCATTCACACACCTTCCCCCTTTCTCTGCTGGCCAAATTTCAGTTTATACCTCAGGATCCAGCTCAGGCATCTCTTCCCTACATAAATCTTTCCAATCACTGTCCAATGAAAGGAACAGCATCACCCTGGGTCTAGGACACTGTCAGCTCCACGTTGAAGAATCCACTGTAGCTGGGGCAGTGATGGTGCACACCTTTAATTCCAGCAGTCAGGAGGCAGAGGCAGGCGGATCTCTAAGAGTTCAAGGTCAGCCTGGTCTACAGAGTGAGTTCCAGCATAGCCTCCAAAGCTACAGAGAAACCCTGTCTCGAAAAACCAAAACTAAAACCAAAACCAAAACCAAATAACAACAACAAAAATATATTGTAGGGACTGAAAAGACAGCTCAGAGGTTAAGAGCATGTACTGCTGCTACACAGGACCTAGGTTCAATTCTCAGCACCTACATCAGGCCCTCATAACTTCCTCTACTCCAGTTTGATGGCATCTGGTGACCTCTGACCTCCAAGGTCACCTACAGAGTCACGGAGCATATAAATACACACAGGCATGCACACACACAGAGGCACACACAGGCATGCACACACACAGAGGCACACACAGGCACACACACACACACACACATTTTAAAATTTTAATTTAATTAAAAAATAACCCATGACAGGCACATCCTGTTTGCCACCATACCTCCAGTCGTTATCACTGCTAGGCAGAGCCACCCCCTCTCTGTGAAGGCACACAGTGTTCCCGCGATGAAATCAGGCAATTGTTTAAAGATGGCATCCTTCCTGGGTGGGATCCACCATCAGGTGAGCTCGGAGTCTCTGCACAGAGCAATCTGTGAGCATGTAGGGACTTTTCTGGCTTAGCAGAAGGCAACGACATTCGCTTTCCACCTATGACTAAGTAGGATCTATGCAATGCATGGGCTGTGGAACCTTGACATTAAAGAGCCTCACACTGTCCCTGCTCCTCCTACTCCCCCTTCTATGAATAGCAGGCTGTGCAGGCAGGAGGACAAGACAGGGAAAAGTGATCACACTTTCCTGGGGAGGCTGTGGCTCAGGGCGAGGGAACAGCTGGGGAGCCGGGCAGGGTCCTGATGCACACAATCCACACAGGAGTGGGCGCACCATTTGTCTTCTGTTGATCTTGTTCTTTTGTCCAGAAGATAGCGTTGTCCTCTGCACCCCTGATTGAGCTGGGCATCAAGACAATTATTATGATTGTGAATCTAGTTTCAGTTAACTGCTTGCCATATTCCAGGTTATTCCAGATCATTTTATATGCATCATCATGTTGCCCTCACTAGGAACCTGTGAATGTAACAGATTTATGGTTAAAACGTGGTTCTCAGCCAGGCATGGTGGTTCCGTTTGTAATCACAGTGCTCAGGATGCTGAGGCAGGAGGATTATTGCAAGTTTCAGGCCACACGGGACATCATAGTGAATCTCAAGTCAACCTGAGACTCTATTGTGAAACAAAACAACAAGCCCCAAATAAGCAAAAAGGCTGAGAGATGGCCCCAGGATTAAGAACACTTGCTGCACAAAGGACCTAATTTTGAATCTCAATGTTCATAAAAAAGCTGGACATGACCTCACAAAGCTCCTAACGCCAGTGCTGCGCTGGGTAGAGATGCGAGGGTATCTGGGGCTTGCTGTTTGCCAGTCCAGTGCCAGGTTTAGAGAGACCCTGTTGCAAAGGAGTAAAGCAGACAGTGACAGGGCCACACACTGATGTCCTTCTGTGTCCTCTGCCCAGCGGCAGGATGCTTACCTAGTGTGGAGGCCCTGGCTTCACCCTCTCCTAAAATTTAACAAACAACCCACTGAAACTGGTTCTGTCATCAGACAGATTTAGATTTAAACCCTGACTTTCGACTTCCTAGGTGTGTCGAACCTAGGCGAGAGGTTGTGATTTGTTCAACCAGTTCTGGAGTAAGTCCCTTCCACTGAGCAAATTCTTAGGATGTGGTCTCCAAGATGTACAAGCCACACTGGGTGGCTTTTAAGACACCTGAGGAAGATTTTTGCTCCTTTGACATTTAAACAGCTCCATGGATCCTAGAGTCTCTTTCCACTTTTTTGGTGTTTCTTTTGTTTGTTTGTTTGTTTTGTTTTGTTTTGTTTTTGAGATTGAGTTGCACATAGCTTGCTCAGACTGCCCGTACAGCCAAGAATGACCTTGAATTTCTGATCCTCCCGCCTCTGCCTCCTGAGCTCTGGAATCATGTCTCTCCCAGAATCTCAGTGGGCTAGAGACTTCCCAGAGACTAGACAGTGTGTGACCAATGGGGTGGTCTTCTCTAAGCACCACCTTCCCACAGATCTGGATCACCAGGAGTGAGTGCCTATTCCTTCATTCTTCACCCTGAAAAGGCTTGGTTCTAATAGCATAAACTTTAAGAAATCCTCATTGAGAATCCATTAAAATTCTTAGCCCTCAGCTCTATTTCCACTTTCCTCTCATTCTATCAGAGGCTTTCTACCCCGAAAAACCATTAGTTCTTAGAGGGCAAGAGTGTGTTCAGGGAATCAGTCAGCTTCACGCATGTGCTTGGTGAAAGTCTTTCCGAATAAAGGTGTTTGTTTGGTTTTGTTTTTTGTTTTGTTTTTGGTTTTATTTTTTGGTTTTGGTTTTTCAGACAAGGTTTCTCTGTGTAGCCCTGACTGTCCTGGAACTCACTCTGTAGACCAGGACAGCCTTTAACTCACAGAGATCCACTTGCCTCAGCCTCCCAAGTGCTTTTCTAAAAGGCATTTTAAAGGCATGTACCATCATACCCAGTTCAAACAAAGGTTCTTAAAGTAGAGTTGGGTGCCACCTTTGCAGATAAATTGTGCAGTGTCCTAGCATCTAGGGGCATCTACTCACCACTGTCCTTGGTATCCAAGGCCTTCCATACAATCTCTACTTGTCTAACCAAGTCTACATGATTGGCTCACAATGCTTTCTAAGTGTCTGCCAAAGACAGCCAGCCATTCTCCAACCCAGAGGTGCCCACCTCACCTTCAAATTTTTGCATCAGAAACACAGTCCAGATCATGGCTGGCAGTTTCAAAGCCATTTGGGAAGGCGGGAAGCTGTTTCCATAGCGGCATCTTCTCTTTGCTCCTGAAGACAGAAGAGTGAAGAAACCGGTACAGACTAACCCACCAGACAGGCATGGGTCCAGGCCTTCCTCTCCAGGTTTCACTGTGTTCTAGAAAGTCACTTCTCCTTTCTACTTCGGTTTCCATTTCTGTAAGCGAGTTTCATAATAGTGCCTGTAGCACAAGGTCACCAAGAATGATACAATATCTGTAAAATGCTTGGGACCCAAGTGTGAGAAATGTCCCAGAAGCCTCGACTGCCATAGCCCCTGCCTGACCATCCACTTGCCAGTGATCTCCCTTCTGAGTTCTCACAGTGCCTCTCCCGTGTGCCTCACCACCGAGCTTTCCAGAGCATATTGTCCGATGTTGCTCACTCAAGCTACTTGGGTCTTAAAAGGGATCCATTCATTTGACATGTACTTTTCATGTCCTTGATGTGAACCTGGGCTGGGCACTGAGGGTCAGAAGGGCACAGATATATGGAGCTTGCACCCTGACCTCGTGGAATTTACAGTTTGGTGAGGAAGATAGGACCCGTACAATAAAGAGCTATAACTTAAGTCAGAGACGGTTAGTGCCAGTGGGAAGGCATAAGAGTCCAAAAGCTAGAAGAGTTGTCTTTGCCCAGGGTGAGCATGATGTTGGAAGTCTGGACCTTACATATGGAGAGATGGCAAGAATCGGCTTTATGAGATGTTGGTCACTCGGGCATGAATTGTGGCAAGGGAAATGAGAAGCTTCTCTGAGAAATGTGGTAGTCTGGTGTGGCTTTAATTGAGGTTTGTGCAGGGAGGGTGTTTGTGTTTGTGGGACGTGAGGGTGGAAGTGTCCTGGATGAAAGGCTGGAGCTATGTGCTTAGTTCCCACTAAGGTAGGGAGCAGCTGAGGGCTTAGCTACATCTGCCCTGCTCAAGAGAGCTCAGATTTGTATAACCAGAAGGTCAATCCAGCAGGATGCAGGAAGACCACTGGTGAGATCCCAGTAATGTTCGGGGTGTGGGAGGGAAGGAGAGCTGGTCGTAGGACTGCAGCTGTGGGGATAGGAGAGGGAAATAGAGGTGCCCGCCACTCTGAGAATGTTGGGCAAGCATGGATGCCAGTGTGGCCTTCACTGAGAAGACCATTCTTCACGTGTACCAGGGGTCTCTTTGAGCTGTCCATCACACCACTTCCCTCATCAAAACTCTCCTACTGCTTGGGGAGGCAGCCCAGTTGGTAGAGTGTTTGTCTAGCAAGCACGAGGCCCTAGACTGGTCATATAAACCGAGTATAGTAGTGTGCACCAATAATCTCAGCACATGGGAGGTAGAGAAGGAAGAAGTTCAATGTCATCTCCAGGTACTCAGAGAGTTCGAGGTTAACCTGGACTAAAGGCTCTTTCAAAAAACAAAAACAAAAACAAAAACCAAAACAAACAAACAAACAAACAAAAAATCGGAAGAAGAATGAGACTGGGAGCGGAAGGAAGAGAGGAGGAGGAAGAAAACCCTCCAACAGCTTCAACAAACACTTAAAACTGAATTCCAAGCTGCTCCTTCATTGCCCACACCAGTCTATAGTCTGGTCTAATCCCTTTGTCACCAGCCTGTCACTCAGTGCGCTCCGGTTGCTCAGCTCTCCTCCTGCCTCTCTGGACCTTGGCATTGCTGTTCCCTCTGCTCAGTGTCCCATCTCCCCAAATGTTCACATACAATGTCTTTCATTTCATTCTGGCCTTCACGCAGAACTCCTTGGAGAAACCTCCCTTGATGAAAACAGGCAGCGCCTCTCTGACGTTACCTTGCATGGGCTCTGTTTTCATTGATTGCACTCATCGATTGCTAACTGACATTATAATACATCGATGTGTCAACTCTTGGTCACTTCTGCTAGGATGGACACCCCATAGGGTTTGGTCCTTCATGTGCCTTAATTATTAATGGATATTTAAATTAGTTGGGGACATCAAGGGAACCTCAGAATTTCAGCCTGGATAAACAGGATGTAGGTGGAGCCACCAGGAACCATAAGGGGAACAAAAAGATTTTTTTTTCCTTTTGAAACAGGTTCTTGCTATGTAGCCTATGTTGACTTCACTCTCACTTTGTAGCCCAGGCTGGCTTTGACTTTCAATTCTCCTGTTGTGGACTTCAGAATACCGGGGTTACAGGCATGTGCCATCATCATACCTGGCTGTGGAGAACTACTTTGCAAAAGATCATAAGGTTAGTTTCTCATATTTACATATGAGATGCCAGCCTATTACTTCACAGGAGGAGCCTAGTAAGCAATTACAGAAGGTCTAGAATTCTGGGGTCTTTAGCATTTACAAAGCCACTGCTGAGCAGGTGATTCCTCATGACATGACACTGGGTAGCCAGAAGAACCTAAGACCCCATCATTAAGTATATCTGAAATAAGAGAACAGGCAGGGAGGAAAAGTTAAATCCTCTGCCCTCCAAATCCCCACAGGACCTTGCATGATCTAACCCTTTGCCTATGGCTCGCTCTCCTCGCCCCACCCCGACCACAGCCTCCAGTTCCCCAGCGACACCAGCCACTTTCATTTCCTTGGCTCCAAGGAATTTCAGAGTTCTCCTCCCTTCTCACCCAACTAACGTGACTTGATCTTGCAGATCTCAGCTTAAATCTTACTTCTTCAAATTGCCCTGCCTGGTCTTGACTTTTCCCCACCATCTTCCTCTCCATTATCAGTTTGTGCAAAACCGTAAACATGAAAAGACACACGACCCATAACTTATAGAATACCTACGGCTGTTTGGTGTCTGTCCTATCAAATCATCCACTCAAGGCGCCAGTAGGCAGGTGACAGAGCCTGTGTCGTACACTGCAGTATGGTCAGCACCTGATATATAGTAGATACTCCGTGAACATTTATTGAATGAGCTGGATGGGTAGCAAGATACCCAAAAAGAGAACAGAACAGGTATAGAGATTCAGAGGCAAGGCAGGCTTCCTAAGCAGAAGGAGGGTGCTGGCTTCTATCTAGGTATGGCAGGCAATAGACACAGGAACACCGTGGAATCTATGGGCCAATATGGCTGTGACCTTAGGGATTGCTATGTAAAGAGTTTCCTCCAAGATTTAAACATTTCACTCTGCAGAAAAGCTCCTTAAGCAGGAAGGGAAACAACACAAAATAGCTTCAGGAAGCTCCTGAAGCAAACTAGATCCACTGGGATCCTCCCTGCCAGAGTAAAGAAAACAAAAAATCTGAGTGTCTCCCTCAGACTGAAGGCAGCCAAGATGCAAAGAAGACTCGGGATCAGACCAGCTGCCTGGAAGAAACAGAAACCAGCTGAGCTGCCTAGAAGGGGCTTGTGTGTTATGTGAAGGGAAAGGTATCCTGGTAGCCAGGATCCAAGAAATACCATACCACACAACAATCCTCACACAGAGATTTCTAGGAGAGACACGGGGTGGGGGGGAGGCTGCCTCTGCTAGGGAGAGAAGCAGGAGGCAGGTTTATATAGGGTTTCTCGGGGAGCAGAGTTTTCTTTTTTCAAGACATGGTTTCTCTGTAACTTTGAAGTCTGTCCTGGAACTAGCTCTTGTAGACCAGGCTGGCCTCAAACTCACAGAGATCTGCCTGCCTCTGCCTCCCGAGTGCTGGGATTAAAGGTGTGCACCACCATGGGCATGGGGGGAGGTGTTCTAGAGTAAAGATTTCCAGAGTTGGGATTGGTGGGTTTTCAAATCCTAAACTTGGAGCAAGCTCAGGGATTGGTGGAATTTCAAGCCTGGGAGTAGAGTTTGGGCCTTTTACCCTACAGTTTAGATCAACTGAGTCTCTTGGAATCTGTTGACCTGCCTGTAGCCTGGGCAGTGTGCTCTAGAGTCCCAGAGACTTTGTCACCCACAGACTATTGGCCAAAGGAGCAGAATGTGCTTCCACAGCAGGCGGGGACTTTGAGTCGCGTCGGCTATATAAGTAAAACTTACTTACCAATAAACTTCAGTGGTTCACCAAACTGTTCTTCCATGGGTTTCATACTTTTGCCTGTCGTGTGTACCCTAGCTGGAGTAGTGAACATTTGTGCTGCACCTCCTCGGGGAAAGCTTTGTCACACAAAGGGAATTCACTTACATCTAGTCATGAAGGAGGGAGGAGCGGTAAAGAAGAGCGAGGTCAGGAGAGGAGCAGCTTCGGCCAGTGTGGATCACGCTGTCAAGGCATTGGCAGGAAGATTAACGAGAGGGGAATGTTGGCAAGTGAACGAAAGTCCCTTGTCTTGGTGGTTCTGAGAATGGAGGACTTCACAGTTTTATAAATCAAGGGGAAATCAGCCAAACTAAGAACTAGATATCCATACACAAAGAGGAGGATCAAGAGTTCAAAGTCATTCTCTGCTACACAGCAAGTTCTTGAGCCAGCAGAACTGTATGAGGAAGAGGTGGGGAAAGGGAGAAGGTGAGAAAGGAAGGGGAAAGAGGGGAGGGGAAGGGAAGGAAGGGAAGGAAGGAGAAGGGACCCCAAAGAACCTCCAAGTTCAAAATTTTCCTACCTCCCTTTCAGAGTGCTGGAATCGTAGGCATATGTCACCACGCCTAGTGACAGGAAAGCTTTTGACCAAGTAGATAACAAAGATTAAATTCAGGGATAACACCCTGTCATGGCTTTAGGCACTCCCAAGCACTGTGGGTGGGAGTGTAAATGAGCCTACTTTTTTAGAAGACAATTAGACTGGAGTGATCAAAATACCAGACAGCAGCCATTTGATCCACTGACTCCACTTTTAGCAATCTCTTCCAGAGAACTCGCCACTGAGCGTCTGAATCTCAAGTGTGAGATTCTAAAAAATAAAAGCCTCCCAGATATCCATCCAGAGAGGGATTTTTCAAAAGGAGGTAGAGACATAGCAGATCAGTAACTGGCAAGTGGGAAATCAAAGTGGCAGCTGGCCGTACTGGCTCGGCCTGTAATCCCAGCACTGAGAGGCCGAGGCAGGAGGATCATGGCAAGTGGGAAGCCATCTTGGGCTACATAAGAATTCTAGGCCAGCCTGGGCTATAGATTGAGACTGTGTCTCAAAAATGAAAAGAGGACCAGTGATGTGGCTCAGTGTGTAGACACA